TTCCAGTGCTTAACCACCCTGACAGTTAGGAAATTTTTCCCAATGTCCAACCTAAACTCCCTTGCTGCAATTTAAGCCCATTGCTTCAAGAACAATTTACTTCTCTCTGCCTTGTAATAACCTTTTATGTACTTGAAAACTGTTACCATGTCAAAGACAGCTATTAGCTTGGTTTGATACAATTTGTTTTTGCTGACTGAATTATTATCTCGTTATTTTCAGATGTCTGCAAATTGACTGCTTGATTATTTGCTACATTATCCTTCCAGGTACTGAAGTTAAACTGACTGGTCTGTAATTCCCCGGGTTGTCCTTATTTCCCTTTTTATAAATTGGCATTATATTTGCCCATTTCTAATCCTCCGCAATCCCTCCTGTCTTCCATGATTTTCCATTGAGACATAGGCTGGGTCTACACTACCCGCCTGAATCGGCGGGTAGAAATCGACCTCTCGGGGATCGATTTATCGCGTCCCATTGTGACGCGACAATCGATCCCCGAATCGACGCTCTTACTCCACCAGCGGAGGTGGGAGTAAGCGCCGTCGACGGGAAGCCGCAGAGGTCGATTTTGCCACCGTCCTCACAGCAGGGTAAGTCGGCTGCGATACGTCGAATTCAGCCACGCTATTCGCGTAGCTGAATTTGCGTATCTTAAATTGACCCCCCCCTGTAGTGTAGATGTAGCCATAGTGTTTAAGGCCAGAAGAGATGCACCATATCACCTAGTCTGACCCAATGTATGTCCAGGCCACTAACAGCTCTCAGCACCCGCACACTAAATCCAACAACCAAAATGAGACCAAAGCATTACCACCCTCAGGAGACCAAATTATACCACAGGAAGGGAACAGGAGGCACCGAGGTGACCAGTGCCCGAGACCCCTACAGTAGCAAGGAACTGATTAAGTGAGAGAGACCCAGCAAAAAGAGATGTCCTTATTTCCATGTAACAGAGTCACAGGGCTGGCAAGAAAGGAGATATTGGTTACAACTTGCAATGAGTAAATAAATTAATCTAGAGTTTTCTAGAGGGGCGGCTGCTCCACTCCTGCATAAAAGAGGTTAAAAGCAGCCCTGGAGAGGGTTGCAACAGGGAAAGGGATTAAGAACAGCTGGGGGAAGCTAACTGGGTCGCTGACCACAGCTGTGGCCAGTTTAATCAGGGCCCAGTTGGCTCTTATAAGAGGGCTGTGGGCCAGAAGCTAAAGGAGACTCTCTCTAGCTTCTGAGAGAGAAGGACCGGACTGCCTAGGAGCTGAGAAGGGTACCTGAGGTGGAGCAGTGCTGGGGAAGGGCAGAGGGAGCTGGGGAGCTCCAGCCTAGCAAAACCCCAGGCTGAGGCCTTGCTAAAAGGCCAAAAAGGGAACCGGGGCTGCAGAGGGGCAGCCCAGAGATAGGCAGAGGCAGCCGGTCCTAACCCCCTTGCTGATGATGAGGGGTTTACAGACTTGAGTCTGCCCCAGTGAATGGGGGCTAGATGACGACTGGCAGTAGCCACTGAGGCAAGGTGGGAGTAGAGGGTTGGGGATTCCCTTGGGTGGGGAGACCCAGATTATGGGTTACTGCTGGGACAGAACCCTGATGTATAGGGGCACCGGGGTCCGGGAGGGACATGGGGGCCAGCGGTGGGTGAGACACAGGCCTGCATAGGGCGCTCCCGGCTGGAAGGGTTAATTTCCAGGACGACCATCAGGAGGCGCCGCACCGGTGAGTCATCACCCCGCCACAAGTTTAAATAAACTTTTTAGAATGCTCAAAGGAGAAAGCTTCATTTCAGTGTACATGTGCCACTAGGGGGTGCTGTGCTGTGCTGGAGGGCAACCACATCTGCATGCAGTTGTAACGAAACCCTTCCTCCAAGTAACTGAATTGGATCTGACCGTGTGATGTCAAATAGGGTGACCAGATGTCCCGATTTTATAGGGACAGTCCTGATATTTGGGGCTTTTTCTTACATAGGCATCTATTGCCCCCCACCCCGTCCCGATTTTTCACACTTGCTGTCTGGTCACCCTAATTTCAAGTCACTTAACTGTTAATTTCCTTTAGTCTGTGGGTTAGGAGAATACCATGGAGGAAACCTTTGCCCTCACTCATGGGCACTGACTTTGATTTTCCCCTGGGCGTGCTCCACCCCCACTCCACTCCAAGTCCCTGCTTCCCTCTGCTCCTTCCCCTGAGGCCCCATCCCATCCCAACTCCGTTCCCCTCCCCTGAATCAACCACCCTCCTCCAAGTGCCTCCCCCAGCCACTGAATAGCTCATCGGCAGCCCCACCTAACAGCTGTGGCTGGTGTTTTTTTCTGTGGGTGCTTGAGCCCCAGAGCACCGATGGAGTCGGCACCGATGGCCTCACTCCTCTCCTTCCTCCCATTCAGTTGAGCTCTTTACTGGATCTGCAAAGCAGGGACTGCACACCCCATCAGCCTCCTCCCCACTGCACTTCACCTTCCCCGGGCCAGGAAGGGGAAAGGTTCTGACCCAGGGACTGGCTGGGCAGTGGGAGCCACAGGGCAGCAGAGAAGAGAAGCCCCAGGAGCTGTGGGCTGGTCTGAGTGCGAGCAGCAGCAGCTGGGCAGAGAGACACTGACTGAGCCTGGCCTGGAAACCCGTAAGCTCCTGTTTGCTGGACTAGAGACTGGACGGGTGAGGGCACCCCAGGCTCTGCGCCTGAAGAGCCCTGGCTGTCAGTGGGACTGCCCCAGGGATCCAGACAGGAACCGGCCTGCAATCACTACATCTCACTCTGCACTGTAACTGTTTCCCCATCTGTACCTAGGGTCTCTACAGCCTTTCCGGTCAGCCCTAGTAAAAACATTTCCCTCAGCCATGCTTCTGAGCGGTTACTGGGACCCACCAGGACTCGCATCGACAAGGCCTAGCTGCAAAATACCTACAGTGCTTGTGTCCAAGTCGTGGTAACCTGGCACATGACAGGCGCCGTAGGGGTTTGATGTACTTGGGCAACCACTGTAATTACACTGGTGTCCAAGGTGGGATGCCGGCTGGCAGATTTGGCTGGCAAGGGGCAGGTACCACAGGTGCGAGGGCTGCTTGGTGGGTGGAAATGACCAATCCTGACAATCAAAGTGTTCCCCTGAGCTCTGAGAGCAGAAATAGGGCGGTGCAGGTGGAGAGATGTGGCCGCCTGGCTTCATGCCCGGAGCTCATACTGGGGATGGCCAGGGCTGGGCCGGCTGAATCAATCTGTCTGTGTGAGCTTCCAAAGTAAATGGCTGGGGTGAGGCTGCCAAGCTGGATTTCCTTGGCCTGCTGCTCCAAAGCAAAGCCCAGGAGGAGTTTGAAGGACTGACACATGGTACCACAGGGAATATGTCTCTGTCAAGGGTGCCCCATGGTGGTCTCTGGTTTGGATCATGAGTGGAACCAGGCATACGTCAACAGCCAGAGACAAGAAAAGGGAGAATCTGTCGGGGTTCTGTTTTTGTTTGAGTTGTAACTATATTCTGTTCCTATTACTCTTGCTTAATAGCGTTTACATTCACATTCTTTATTAATCAGCTTATTCTCAGTTGTACAATAAATCATCTCAAGTGTTGGGTGCTAAAGGGAAACGTGTATCCTCAGCTGCGCTAGCAGACTGTGGTGTGTTCTGTCTCTTGGCACTTTCTGTAGACATTTCTGGACATTGCAAAGAGACGCCTCTGGGGAGTTTGGGAGCTGAAGTCCACTGAGGGTTACCTGCAAGGCAAGGTTAAGACTCTCTTGCAGAGGCATAGGACTAACCCTGAAAGAGCATCCAAGGGTGCTGGCTGAAAAGAAGCTTGGGGCTGTAAGATAGAAATTTGGTTTGGGTTCCCTCTGGGTTCTCAGAAGCAGGACTTTGTACATTCACTGTAAGTAAACAAGATTACATCAAAGTAAATATCAGACTTCATCAATTTCTACTTGCAGCTGGACCATCCCCAGCATGCCTCATATTTGGGAATAAGCTAAAGACCCCAGCAAATCTCTTGAGTGGAGCTCCTGAAGAGGGACAAAGGGCTTTGAAGCATTTGAACCATGTAGAAACCCTACAATCCAAGAGGGGGAAAAAGCTCACACCTTTGCCATAGAAAATTTGGGGCTAGCATCTGATAAAGTGAAAAGCCTTGATAATGTAAGTTCATATAGGGAATCTTTGAAAAGAGGAGAGCTGATCTGCTACCACAGTCCTAGAAGAAAAATAGGATAAACTGGATAAAACCGGGGAGTGACCTTATCCAGTAGTGGTTCTCAATCTGTGGACCCCTGTGGGTCTGCAGACTATGTCTAAGGGGTCCATGAAAAACTTAGACTGAAAACTTACTGAC